AACAAAAGATGCTGTATGCATAGTGTTGACTTGTCTCGGGGTTAGAATATAGCCTCTTGATCACTTGCTCTGCCAGTCCTACCTTGCTGCACTTCTGCATTGGCATAACCCTTTTTTTGGAAGTTTGATGCAAGGGTGTGTGCATTTTTCTCAGGGTTGATGTGATTATGTATCCCCAGCTATACAATAGTGTAACTGTACTAAAGAAAGCCCCCACAAGGCACATCTGAGCACTTTTAATCTGTTCTCATCCTCTGAAACTACAGAGTCACCGCTTTGAATTCTGCTTTTTCAGCACATTGATGTCTGGTATTTGACGTGGTATTTCTTGATGCATTCATACATATTCAAGCTATTTGGTGATAGCACTCACAGCACATTTTGTAAAGCCAAACAAACAAAAAACCCAAACCCAACTCTTTCCAAGACATCACATCCTCCCCTGAGTGACGTCTGGGGAGATCTGTGCCATCCTTCTGTGTTATTTACTTGGGCTTTTTTAATTTAATCTCAAAACACTTGTTTCCCAGTTCAGAAAACAAATTCTAAACTAAAATGCCTTCATACTGAGGTGCTCTGACATAACAGGAGCCGGGTTTAAATTTAGGTTTTCTTGAGAAGGATAGGATGGGGAGAATCTGTGTTAGCTGCTTTCGGGGGGGCGGGGGGAGGCACGTAGTCTGTAGTGAAGTGGAAAATAAGTACTAGCTCTGGTCTCATATTAGACTCCCCAGTGAAGCTAGAGTTGTCAGTTAGTGGTGGGAGGGGAATAAGAAATGAGCTAGTAACTGAAGCAGTGCGTCTCGGGGAGCTGGGAAAGGAAGCAAGGACATGGACAGAAAACCAAGTGATGCACAGAAAGAAAATGAGTGCTCTCTTTCATGAAAGGGCTTTTTATCATGGAAACAAAACTAGATTCTTTCTGCTGAAGGAGTATAGTAGTTTGCTTTAAACTAGGTTTTATGGTCACTTTGTTAATTATTCATCCAGATAAGGACCTACTTGTTTCTTTTTTATCTTTGTCTCTTGAGTAGATTTGCATTTATGTATATGCAAACTTTTAAAAGTTTCTTTTTTAAAGGTTTTTAAAATACTGTCCGCTAAAATAGTTTGAAAACTGTTACAGTACTGCCTTCTTTTGCACGATAGGTTTCTAGCAGGCTCTTAACATCATGATAAAGTAAATAACTTGTCTCCTTGCCTGGGATAAGCACTTGACATAAATCATAATGCTGTGTAAATGACGATTCCTTATATATTTTCTGGCATGCCCTAAAAGGAAGGTAGTTTGTACTGTTTAGGAGGAGGGAATACGGAGTAACATTGTGAAGCAGAGAGCATTCCTGAAGAGTGATCTGTCAGGGGAATGGTGGAACATGCCTCTTGCGGTGATGGGACTGTCGTGTGTTAGATTTCCTAGCCTGTTTAGAGATGAAAACGAATAACTGAACGGCAGGAGATGGCTGAGACTGATGGTATTCAGTATTTAGAGCAAGATAAGTTAATATATGTTGCCAATTTTGCATGGGTTGGCTTTTTTTTTAGCACTTAAGGACTGTAAAGTCATGTCACACTGATGTAATTTAAAGGTGGTAAGTATAGTCGAAGAGGGAAGGTCTGTATTCTAGTTTTTTGTAGAGAAAGATAGGTAATTGGTATTTTCTTATCTAGTGGTAGGTAAAAGTTAAGAGGACTATAATTTCTGGGTTTTCGTATGAACTTATTGTCAAATGCCTACAGTGAATATGAGAAAATCTGGTAACTTGTAATCCTGCCACTTTTCAGACCCTTTTCTTTTTAATCTGTGTTTGTTTCTGTCAACCCCATTATGTCCCTGCTCTCTTTTTCTCAGGGCTTTCAAATTCTTTGATAAGGAATAGTCATTGAGCAACCTTATAAAATTAGAAGTGGAGAAGGTGCAGAATTTTGTTCAGAGGAAAACAATAAAGAAGGCCAAGGGGATATGGTCACTGCTTGTGTGTACTTTGGGGAACAGACACTTGGAAGGATAAGTGCTTCTGAGCTCAAGGATAGTATTGGCACAAGAACAAGTGGATACGAAGTATGAAGACCTACATTTAGAAAAGGAGAGCATTGGAGGGGGTTTCTGGAACTTGCTTTCAATGGAGTGCCTGGGACAAAAATCTAACTGCTTTTAATGTGAAGCTTGCTTACGTTTAGGGAAAGGGAGTATGTACAGTTTGATTACAGGGACTGGACCCAGATCATGTGGTCCCTTTTGGTCCTGTGTGTCCATGAGTGCTGTTACTTTCATACAGGATAAAACCAAAACTAAGTAGCTTAATCTTCCTTGTCACTCATCTCAAACAGTGCATAAACATATAACCTGTCTGATGCTTTGCAAGAAAGCTGCTGGGTAAGTAACGGTTGCCTGCCTACTGTGCTCTCTGGGAACTTGTTGCAAGAAAATAGGAAAGGATACTCACTCGCACTGGTCATAGGCCGAGCCCCTGATCGCCATGGCTCAGAGTACTAAAGATAGCTTAATAAATTTATACAGTGTGGAATCCTGCTCTTCCCCTGCCGGGAGAATATAGTCACCCCCTCCCCAGTGCAGCGTCTACCTGGGGAGTGACAGCCCTGACTGCCAGGGCTCAGTGGTTCAGACTCAGAGGGATTAGTTTTGTTGAAGTCTGTTTCCCTGGTCTTTAAGGGCCTATTTCCATAAACTTTATTAGGACCTGGTTCTATTCAGTAGTTTGCTGGAATATTCATGTTTACGTGGCTTTCGGGACAGACTGAAAATATCTATACAGCAGCTGGTACTCTGAGCCTTCAGATCAGGTGCTGGCATGCTGTACCTGTGATGGGGTGTCGGACTCCTCCCACCCACTTAGGAGGGAAAAAGTCATTGCCTACTGTCCATGTGATATTTGTTCCCTCTTAAACTTATCTTTGTTTTCTTGGTCAGATTCTGGAGAAATAAACCAGGGTCTAGGTGCTAAACATTTTTCTAATTGTTAAATTATTCATTTTCTTAATTGGGAAAAGAATCTCAGTAGGTAAATGATTGTGGACTAACCAGATTTGATCTAAATGATTGACCATCTCTGACTTATAAAACAGAAAATGAATGTTATAATCAACAAAAAACATGCTGTAGGTACATGTAAGATATGTCTGCAAAATCCTGATCAGTGTTATCTGTAGATCTTTAAAGGATAAAGGTGCAGAAGCTGGTGTCTAAGATCTTGCTTTTATTGCATTTATTTGTCTCCTATGCAGAGTTAAATCCCTACTTGGCTATCAAAGTGATTTGCCATTGTAGTTGTGCAGAAGCGTCTGGCGTCATGAGAGTTTGATCTGTGCTAGTGGAGATGTTTTAACACTAGGTCTGTAAGAGAACAGGATATTGTTCCTGTATGAGGGTTGAACATAATGATCTGGCTTCTTTAAGAGCTTTAGCAGACAGTAAAAATTAACTCAGACTGTTTATACAAGGAGTGTATTAGGAAACAGGCAGTGACATTATTTGGGTTTAGATGAGTTACTGGTCTATTACAGTTCACAACAAAGCAGACAAACGCAGAGGACATGCCAGGGAGTTGTGCTGTTGCAGTTGTTCTGCAGTCAATCTGTCATGTATGCTGTTGGTAATAACACCGTGAGGGTTATTTGGAGCTTCCTTCCATCCCGTGTGGCTTTTACTCATAGGTCTCAATTTCTTCAGTAGACTGGTGATTCTTTTTTCAGTAGACGGAGTTAATCTGCAGTGTCTGTTACAGCCCTTTTCTTCACTTTCTCTGACATTTTGTGCTAGGATAATCACCATTTGACTTTTTTTTTTTTTGGGGGTGGTGGTGGTGTATATTTGGTGTTCTGAAATGTCTGGAAAGCATAAGAAAACTTCCTTGCCAGCTAAGACTATTGCGGAGCCATGCTGTGTGATTAAAAAGGGGCTATATTTCAGAAGAGAATCCTCTATTATAACGATTAGCTGTGTCTTCTTGTGTTCTCAAGCCTAACAACGGAGCTTAGTAATAACTTAAAAACAGTATATTGTTAAAGCAAAATAGCACATTCTCCTATGCATGCTTACAATTTTCTTTATAAAATCCCATAGATTTGGCTGAGACAAGGCGAAGTTGTCTGAAAAAGGTGTATCTTTTATTGAATGGGAGTTGCTTTATTGCACTGAGACAGTTTTGAAAGTATTTCAGTTATTTTTAGGTCTACAGTGATAAGAGCCTCTAATTGTTGGGAAATTGCAACCCAAAATGATCTTAGTATGTAGTGTTATAATTGATAGTAGCATTTGTGGAGGTTGGAGATAGAAGCAGAGCAAATAAATATCCAAATAAATATCCTTTGCCTTACATGTTTTAAAGATCTGTATTATTATTCTCAAATTCTTTTTGTAAGAGCTAAGAGTAAACTTACATAAAGTAACAGTACTTGAATTGTCTGCACTAAAAAGAATTTTCCACTCTTCAGTTTCATCCTGTGTTTGGGAGACTTACTGCTCATTAGCTATATGAAAGTATGAAGGATTGAAAACTTTTTTCCCTCATTTCCAGGATTGAAGGTTGGAATAGCTACACAGAAATGAGTAGCCTGATGATTTCTTACCCAGCAGTTCATCCACTGACACTTTCTCACTTTCTGCTCTTTATCTACAAGAGTTTGTACTTAAGAACTTTGTTAAATTCTTGCCTTTGTTCCATACCCATTAAGTTTACAAGACTGTTCAGAGTCAGTATATTAGTCTTGAATTTCTTACTGTTGATGGATCATCTGCGGCTGTCTGATACACACTGTCTTTGAAGACCGAGGGATGTCCAAAGTGGCAAATGAAAGAGCTTTGGGTTACTTCATATTGATGTATGCTAGCCTTGAGAAACTTCTTTGGCTTATTTAAATGTTTGCTGTGTGGATTATGTTCATGTTGAGTTCAGTTTTTCTTATTTGCATTTCCTTTAATTTTGATAGTGATAACTTTCTTTTGTTAGGATTAATTAAAAAAATGTTCTTCCATGTAGGGCACAGCTTAGGCTATGGCTTTGTGAACTACGTTACTGCAAAAGATGCTGAAAGAGCAATAAACACACTGAATGGCCTCAGACTTCAGTCAAAAACTATCAAGGTAGGGTGTCTAGATTTTTTTCCGTCTTCTATGGAAATGGCATTCTAATAAACTTCATTCTGGTGGTAAGGCTTGTGTGCTTCCCAACTGCAAGAAAGGTAGAATCTAGGAGAAGAGTAGTAAACTGAGCTGTTAAGCCTCTCGGGTTTTGTAACAGCTTTGTATTCAAAGATTCCCTTTTTTTTTTTTCATTCCCAACATTTTTACAACAGTAGGTGGGATCATTCCAAATTGTTGCCAGGCTTTTGAACTCGTGTATATCTCAGATACTTGATGACCTCTATTTTAAATCACGTTAATACACATGCACTCCTTTTCCAAAATAACAGCTAGTATTGTATGTGTAGGAAATCACACCTGCTTAAGTGATATTTGTAATTTTCTCTAGTAGCAGAAACTAAGAGAGAAAACTGCATTCCACCTGGAAAAATCTTTATATGAGGCTTTAAAAAATGTACTGACAGCACAAGTTCTTGGTGTGATCTGTGGTTACTGACAGGTCCAGTATCCGAGTCAGAACTTCAGACAGGGATTCTTCAATGTAGCAAATGTGTTTGTTGGAAGCATTGGTATTAGTCTACTGCTGTCTCTTTATAGTAATGCCACTATATTCTTTATCTGTTGGATAAGCCCAAAATGAATGGAGTTATACAGGACATGACTTTTCTCTTTTTGTTCTGGCAATTTTCCCCTACCTTCTCCCCTTTCCGCTTTTTTGAACTCCAGTAAAAAATGCCTGCATTATTTAGTGGGGAATAAATGAAAGTGACTCATGACAAAATACATTACTCTTTCCTTTTTACGCCCTGAACATACCTTTTTTTTTTTTCCTCTTTAAAGGTTTCCTATGCTCGTCCAAGTTCTGAAGTTATCAAGGATGCTAATTTATATATTAGTGGACTACCAAGGTCAATGACACAAAAAGATGTAGAAGATATGTTTTCACGTTTTGGACGCATCATCAACTCACGTGTGCTTGTGGATCAAACTACAGGTGAGTTCTGTTGCACTAGCTTCATAAAACTGTAGTGTATAGCATGTTTTAAGTTTTTCAGAGACTGGTAGTTCCTAAACTGAATTAGACTTTCATAAACTAACTGTGACATCTGGTGTCAACCACTGAAATAATTTTAACAGGATATCCTTTTTCAGTGACTTTTTTAAAACACAGAATGACTACGCTGCCTCCTTTGCTAGCTTACAGTCTAATCCTCGTATCATATTTTATGCTTTTATTGTCAGTTTTACCAGGCTGAGCTGCTGATTTGCCAAATCTACTCTCTTGTTATGACACTTGATACTACTATAGTGCAATGTGCTTCTGGGCAATGTTTGTATTTGGCAGTGCTTATGTTACCTTTACTTTACACAAATGCAACTATTACCCACAGGTAAATTCCAGTCCATAGTTATCCACTGAAAAGCAAAACAATAATGTGTTTTGTCTTTTATACCAACTTGGAATTCACTCACACAATTTCCTCATATTTTAAAACATTTGAGGTGTCTTACAGTCCTCTCTGGTTACTGCTAACCAAAAGAATGAACTTAATACACTTAGTACTACCCTCTTGGATTTTTATGAATGTATTTTGTTTATTTAAAAAAAAAAAAAAAAGAAAGAAAAGGAAGAAGTTGCTTAGTTAAGCACTCAGCTCAGGAGAGACCAAAGTTAAGGATTTCCTTTATAATGTTAATTCTGACTCAGTGTTACAGTGTGTTTTCAGAGTTTTAATTTCTTACCTAATTATTTCAGACTGTATAACTGAAGAGTACGTCTTATCCTGTAACCTTAGGTGTCCTGTGTTGTTTCTAGTAGCCCATATGTCATGTATGAATTTGGAGAGAACTTCTACAAATACACTTTTTCATTGATTATGCATGTGCTATATTAGAATAGAAGATAATTTAATTCTAGCAATTCCACATTTAACATTTATATATTGTAGTATGTACATTTATACACAGTAGTTAAGCAGCAACTTTCATACTCTGAGGAATCTACTGTAATTTAGAGTAGGCCATCAGCAGCTTTTGGTGGGATTAATCTGACTAAATGCTAAAGTCTACAATGTTAAGTATCTCCATCAGAGCTAGCTCTTTGTGTAGGCATCTGCTTTTAAGTGTTTCGATTTGGTCAGAACACGATTGTGTGTAAAAGAAATCTGGGGTGCCTAGATGAGATCTGGATACTGACATTGTAGACACTCCAACGTTGAGCAAGGAAACTTCTATCCTTCCTTTCCTAGAGAGAAGGATTCATTTTGTCCAACTTTGATATCGGTATGGTTCTGTCTCTAGAGCTAGTTATCTGGGTGTCAACTGTAGGTAGAAGCAAGACAGACTTCTAGAGCACAGAAAACTTATTAATACAGGTGTCCAAAGTAGTCATCCTTCTCTGGCTGCCAGTGGAGTCTAGATAGCTAGTGGCTGTCTTTGACAGAGCTATAAAATGAGATGATAGAAGTCATACAATTAAAATCTCTCCAGGAATAATATAATTTTCATTGAGTGTGCTGAGGCATGATGCTGTCTAATTCAGTGTCAGCTCAGAATATACCGCTTGCTTTCAAATAACCTTAATAATGTATTGTTTGAAGAATGTATTCTGTTTACATTATAAAGTTTAATGCATGCATAGCCTAGGTGTCTCTTCACTTCAAGAATGTAGCCATGCCTTGGCTTTAAAACCTGCATTTCATATCTTGATCTAGTCCCAGTTAGGGCAAATTTTAACTTGTGCTTTTAGACGTACCTTCTCAGCAGAGGTTGTTCTCTAGCTTTTGAGAGTTAATCTGTTTAAATATTGTAGAAAGCATATTTTTATATTTTTAAATGAACACTATGATAGATCAAGTGAGAAGCGCTAAGATGAACAGCATGGAAGTGGAGAAGAAGTAACAGTATGTTGGACTCTGGGATAGTCCTTGCTGACTTCTGGGTGATGCTGCTGTTCTGTGCCTTTCCAGGGTGGGGCATATGCTTCCTTCCGGCACAGAAAGGCTAATCTCGATGGTATTGGAGCATATATTGCCATCAGCTCTAATTTGATGAGCCGATTTGGTCCGGCCTCCTGTTTCGGAAGTAACCAGTGAGAAATCAAAAAATGGAATAACGTCTTCACAAGTTGACTCCTTTCCAGATCACTCTAGAAACACCAGCTGCACAGTTGGTGCTAGCCATCTCCCGCTGTTGTTCTGCAGTTCTTTTCTTCAAAAAGTGCAGTGACTTTGGAAATAGGCTTTCTCTGTGTGACTTTGCATACTTAACAACATGCAGAAAACAAGTAATTTATGGAAGTTCTCCCAGTGCCCTAAATGAAAATACACCTTTCCTAGAGAACATTCTATGGGTAGTTGCAGGGGTTGGATTCCCTTTTGTCTGCTTGCTGCATGCCCAGGGTTTTGTCATGCTGCATTTCCTTCTGTGAAATACAGGAAATAATGTTCAATTGTTATAAACAAAACTTTGTGATTTATGATGAGCTTAAACAGCTTCTGAAACTGTCTTTGAAGATTACCCTATGTGGGTGTAGAGTAGAGGTAACGTGAAAGTATTTGATATGACCCTTTCTGAAACAGGGTTGGTAAAGTCCTAGGATTAGTCTAGTCATAATATCTGCTTTGGGATGAAATTTAAACAAAATGTACCCTTTTAGCTTTGCTGTGATAAACAATATTTCCAGACTATGGTCAAGTCACAGATGGGAAGTGGGGGGGGGGGCAGCGGAGATCTCTTAAGGCATGACTTTTATCTCAGTCAGAAGGATAACAGCACCCAGTGGCTGGGGTCTGGAACTAGGAAAAAAAAAAAAGATGCAAATGTTTAACAGCAGTGTAATTGTTTCAGTACAGTTACCAAGAGGTAATTCTTAATCAGTTTTTAATGAATTAAAAATAAAGTATGTGACAGCTAGAAATAATGGCTGTGATGTAGATGAAACTGTGATTTCTTGATTACAGAAGGTTAAACTACTTTATTAGAGTTAGACCTTCATGCCCTCATCTATGAACCAGAATGTGTTTTCAGCATGGAAAACTGAAAACATTTGGAAAAATCAGTGTCAATTTTGTGTTTGCAGATGCTTTTTAGTGATAAAGTAATCAAAGCTAAGGGGTTTTGTTTTTAACTGACTGGAATTAATTCTTTTTTTGTGGAATTAATTTAAAATATTGGGAGGTTTTCTTGTTAATGGAAATGTCAGTTGGTGATGGATTTCATGGAATTCTACCACACTGGATTTTTAAGTGTTGTAGTCACTGTGGTTGTTACAGCTGAAATGAATGTGTTAATTTGTCTTTTGTTTCTTAATTTTGTACTTTATCCTCTAGCTGCTGAAGAAACATCAGTAAATGTAGAGAACTTGAAAGCTGTGACCATAGAAATATTTAACTTTTTTGTTTTTTTGCTTTCAAAGTTATTTTGAGTTTATCCTGAACTTCAATTTTTTTTATTTTTTTTTTTTTATTGGTTTGGTTAAAAGGTTTGTCCAGAGGGGTCGCATTTATCCGGTTTGACAAAAGGTCAGAAGCAGAAGAGGCAATTACAAATTTCAATGGTCACAAACCCCCAGGTTCCTCCGAACCCATTACAGTGAAGTTTGCGGCCAATCCTAACCAGAACAAAAATGTGGCACTGTTGTCGCAGCTGTGTCATTCACCAGCTAGACGGTTTGGAGGGCCAGTGCATCACCAGGCGCAAAGATTCAGGTAGGTTAGGAAGAATAATGCATTTAAGGCTGTACTGCTATTCCCGTGTCCGTCTGGGAAACTGTACTCTTGCAGCTGTGCAGTAATATCTTCATTGCAGCATGTGTGGATGAATACATAGTACACTATGTGTCCTGCAGTGTTATGTAAATAAATTGTTGAATTAAAATATGATTAAAGTAAAATCTTACTTGTAAAATTTATATTGAAGTTAATTATGTAAAGGTACATACACTACGGTGTCTGTTTCCGTCTGGGAAACTGTACTCTTGCAGCTGTGCAGTAATATCTTCATTGCAGCATGTGTGGATGAATACATAGTACACTATGTGTCCTGCAGTGTTATGTAAATAAATTGTTGAATTAAAATATGATTAAAGTAAAATCTTACTTGTAAAATTTATATTGAAGTTAATTATGTAAAGGTACATACACTACGGTGTCTGTTTCTACAATTGAGTGTATAGTGAGATGATAGAACGTAGCAGATTCCAGATGGGTATTGGTAGATGCCTGTCTCAACAGATCCCCATTCTGTAGTCCATATATCTGAATGAAGATATAATTTGGCAACTTAATTAAAGCTCTGAACCATTGGTTCCAGCAGGGAGGTGTCGTAGTAAAATAGGAAAACCTTATTTCTGATTAAGAGATTCTGTGGGATTTCCTTCTACATCTTGAGCTGTACAGTGTTCTGTCTTTCCTTGAGTCCTCATAAGTTCAGTAAGACTATTGAGTAATTGCAACGTATTGTCTGTTTCCAGAGCTGTGGAAGATATTATTTATTTTGCCTTTGAGAATTGCCTTAGTTGCTTTGAATATTAATTGCTTGAATTTTAATTGCCTTAGTTGCTTAAAGGAGGGTGATAGTTGGACTGTGCTCTGGAAAAAATGCATTATATTTACTGTCTTGCAGATAAGTAATTGGCTTTGTTATGAGATGTGTTCATGAGAGTTTCTGAGAGTAGTGTTTCCCTGCTGAGAATTTACTTTTTTTTTTCTTTCTCCTCCGAGGTATCCAATTAGCCCAGCAAAATTGGACTAAAAACTCAAATAGCTTTTTGCAGTGCCACTGTTCCAGTACTGCTGTGACCTTTCCATAATGCTTTAGTTTAGCATTTTAAGAACAGCTAGGTATAAGGTGTCTCCAATGAGAAGTAGTACTTTATAGTCGTCTGTTGTTTTACACTAAGGGTGATTTGAACAGGTTGCCCAAAGAGACTGTGGAGTGTCCATCCTTGGAGATGCTCAAAACCTGGATGGAATGGGCCTGAACAACCTGCTCCAGGTGCCCCTGCTTTGAGCAGGGAGGCTTACTGGAGGATTTCCAGAGGTCCCTGCCAACCTCAGTCATTCTGCGATTCTCTTCAACTGTAGTCCAGGCAAGTTTAATGCAGGCAGCTCCTCAAACAAGATTTCATTTCCCTGAAGCACTCATCCAGATCTCTGGACCCAAACCTTCTAAGCCACACCGAGGAATGAAATTATACATTGTTGGCAGTTAGGTGAACTACTAAAAAAACTTAAAATCTGTGTTTTGCGTCAGCCAGGGCTTCAATGTGTCCTGGTGCTAGTAAAATCTTGAGGCTTGTTTTCATTCTTAATGTAAATGGACATTTTCATCATCATTCTTCCCCTTAAAATTTATAGCAGAATTAAGATGCATCAGAATAAGCAGTACAAATAATATTCACACCCATAATTAAGATACCAAATAACTTTAATTCTGTCCTGTGATGATCACTCAGTAATAGTAAAAATGATTAATGTATTTATGTTAATAGTTGCAGGTGAAACTAAATTTTAATGACCAGTTAGAATCATACAGTCATAGAATTGTTTAGGCTGGAAAAGACCTTTAAGATCATAGAGTCCAACCGTTAACCTAGCACTGCCAAGTCCACCACTAAACCATGTCCCTAAG